ACTTTCAAAATTTACAAGTGTGTTATGTACCCAAAAAAGGCAGATAAATGAGGAAAGTCTAGTTTGTATTTGGAAAGAACATCAACAGTCTTTTTAAAAATTGTTTCTTTGGTTTTATTTAAACCACAGAATTCAAGATGATGATTTAAATCCTCATTTTTGAAATAAGAATACCTGATAAGTAGGGGGAACATTTATTGTCATAATTTCACACATTACTTGATATCCTGTAGAAAGCATGATTGCTATTAAGGGCTGACAGAATCAGCTGTACACCATAGGAGGCCAATGCATCTCTTATAAATATTTTCATTTTTTTTGTTCATAAGACATTTTAGTTGCAACCTCTGAATGACTATATGTATTAATGGCTTCACTCAGTTTTATAGACCAATCAGGGAAACCATACAATAATGTGTGTTTCATGTGGCCCAAGGTAACACAGCAGCTGCTGGTATTGGAACCATTTTGGGAGGAAAATAAAACAAACCTCTGACTGATTGAAAATACTTGGTTTATGAGATTCAGTCTTCATATGCGCTTTCACATCTCCTTCTCCAGGATGCTGAATTCCAAATTCTTTTCTCTACAGTGTGCAGTATATTCTGTTTTTGTTGTTTGTCTCCCTAAGCCAGTGAGGCATTCTTCTATTTAGTCTTCATTTTTTATGATATCTAGGTCATGCAGGCATTGGAGTTGTCATCATTCTCATTTTCATTATCTGAGTTCTTATAAAGGGTGGTAATAATATTTCTAATGTTAAAAATTAAACTAGCACTCTTTTGATACAAAGCACAATAGTTAATCCACAGAGAAAGTCAAAGATGGGTTGTTAACTTTCATATTTACCATCCACTTAAGTTGTACTTAAGTCACATCACTAGGAGTGGTGAAACTATGGATGATCCTTAATTATCACCCATAAATTATGCTTGCTCACATTAATAGGAAAAACAGCAACTGTAGAAAGCAGATAATCTATGCCATATCCATTAGATACTAACACCAGTGTTGTTTTTAGGTCTATTTTTTTTATAACACTGCATGGATTTGTACATTTTTCCCCAAACTTGTTCACCTATTGCCAAAGACTGGAACTTTTTATATCCCATGGAGACATTTCCTAGAATGATTGATCACCTACTGAAAAACTCTAATATTGTGCAGTGGGCTCTTGAAAGTGAAGAAAAGATTATTTTTGGTGAAGGAAGAATTGGACAAGCCCTGAAGATTTTTGCCTGAAGGAGTGATAATATGTATGACTTGATAATATGAGAGTCAGAAGACAGTAATCTCACAAGTTTTAGTGGAATTAATTAGGGCAGGCATAGAAAGATAGGAAAGACTGACTTGGAGGCTATTAAAATATTTGACGAGTGAAGTAAAGAAGATTGGGAGGCCCTTAAATAACAGCAGTAGGAAGAGATAGGAAAGAAGGTGAAGCATTTTGAAATAAGTAGTAAGACTTATTGACTTGCTCACTGGATATGGTAAATGAAGGAGATGTTTTAAGGTAACTTCAAGTTTTTAAGACTGAGTAATTAGGGAAATAATGTCACTGACAAAGACAGTGAAATTGAGTTTATTTGATTTTTGTAAACAAGTGAGTTAAGTTTAGAAATGCCATCCTTGGCAGGGTGCGGTGGCTCAAGCCTGTAGTCCCAGCACTTTGGGAGGCCGAGGCGGGTGGATCACGAGGTTAAGAGATCAAGACCATCCTGGTCAACATGGTGAAACCCCGTCTCTACTAAAAACTACAAAAAATTAGCTGGGCACGGTGGCGTGTGCCTGTAATCCTAGCTACTCAGGAGGCTGAGGCAGGAGAATTGCCTGAACCCAGGGGGTGGAGGTTGCGGTGAGCCAAGATTGCGCCATTGCACTCCAGCCTGGGTAACAAGAGCGAAACTCCGTCAAAAAAAAAAAAAAAAAAAAAAAAGAAATGCCATTTTTAAGGCATAAGATACATGATTGGTATTTGAATATACTGGGACTGAAGCTCCTTGATAAGGAATAGTACAAAGCCTAGTTGACCACTCTGTGGGACCAATATAAATTCCCTATGGAGTCAATATTATCCAAAAGGAGTACTATTTCCACTTGTATGGAAGCAAAATAAATACAATTTTTAAACGTTTGAATCAATAATAGAGAAGAAACAATGTAATGAGAGTTATTTTTGCTTCAACTACCTAAACTCCAAGTTTTCTTAGACCTTGGAAGGAAACTACCCCTTGTCCTGTTAATGGTTGTGTCATACAGAAACTTGCCAATCTCCCTAATGAAGAAATGACTTACTACTCACTTGTTTGCATCACCACTATTCTAACTATGCCAGTTTTGAAATATACTCTGGGACCCCATACCATCTGATGTGAATAGCCTTTAGAGACCATATGTAATTCAGGGAATTTCATTGGTGTATGAAGAAAGACCACATCTACCACATAGTTGGCTCCAATTAAGTCTTTTTTGCTTAAAGGAGAAGAAAATAAAATGAAAATAAATCTTCTTATAGAGAACCAAAGATATTTTGAAGACGTGATTTTTTTAAAAAAAAGACCATTGTTTAAAAAATATAATAGGTAATTTTAATATGAATTATCAGGGACAAAAAATATAGTGATTTGGAACAGCAAAAGGAGAAACACTAAGCAAAAACACAGAGAAATGGAGTGAAATGATCAGAAGCAAAACCTAATTTGTGGAAAATGGAGTAAGCGCAGGAGCAAAAGAAGTAGATGTAAGAAAAACCATATTTAAAGAAATAATAGAAGAAAAAATTGTGCTGAAGAAAAACTTGAGTTATCAAACTGAAAGTCCGTAGCAATGACTGAGTAGAATAAGTAAATTACATCTTCGCTTATGTAAATTCATATACATATGCTAAATATATAGACATATCTGGGCAAAATATCTGTATGTTAATGGTGAAGAGAAAATGTTATACCTTTATAATGTTTGTTACAAAATTGTGTAAAGCTGATTATTTACAAAAGAAAGAGCATCACAGCAGCATAGAATTCTTCACTTGCAATACTGGAAAACATCACCGTCCAACTATGTTTATAAATCTTAGTGGAAAAGACTGCAATTTTAGGATCTTATATTTAGCCAAAATATCATTTATAGCAGAGAGCAAAATGAAGACTTTTTATTTCAAACAATTAAGACTAAGAATATACCCATTATTCTTCCTGGTGGAATTACTTGGCCGGGCGCAGTGGCTCAAGCCTGTAATCCCAGCACTTTGGGAGGCCAAGGTGGGTGGATCACAAGGTCAAGAGATCAAGACCATCCTGGTCAACATGATGAAACCCCGTCTCTACTAAAAATACCAAAAAATTAGCTGGGCACGGTGGCATGTGCCTGTAATCCCAGCTACTCGGGAGGCTGAGGCAGGGGAATTGCCTGAACCCAGGAGGCGGAGGTTGCGGTGAGCCAAGATCGCGTCATTGCACTCCAGCCTGGGTAAACAAGAGTGAAAGTCCGGCTTGAAAAAAAGAAAAAGAAAAAGAAAGAAAGAAAGCAGTGATAACTTTAATTGTGATGTGTGTTAAGACAGGGTTCTCAAATATGTTACATACAATAAGAAAAATAAAAAATATGGCATGGAACTACAGTTTTAAATTATTCAAAACTGTAGAAGTAGGAGTATGGATAAAAGAGGTTTAAACATCTTATTTTTGCTTTAAATATTTTTTCCTTTGTTGTTTAGGCATATCACTTATGAGATGGTGCAAAACTAGAATTAGTGTCTTGAATATGACATTCAGTAAAGCAAAGAGGATTATTTCAGTTAAGAGAATGAATTTTCTTATTCATAGGGATATGCATGCTGTGTAAAGCTAGATTAATATCTTTCTGTGGTATGATTATATATCACATGATTTATTAAAATGTACTTTCTGAACAATTATGAAAGATATCATCCTGATTTTAAAAATACGTATTTGTAGTTATTATTGAAAATATTTAACGAAAGCTTACATACTACAGGCTGAAAATACAGAAAGGAAAAAACATTGCCACATTTTGGGGAGATAAATGTGCCCAAAAATGCATGTAAAATTAAATCAGTACTTTATTAGATGTATGCAGAACCTAAAGTGAAACAGGAAAAAGATGTGAAAGACTTAACTGTGAGGATGTTTATGAGTCTGCCAATGAGGAAGATAGGAAGGCATGCTGAACAGTGGACACCTGTGTTATGGATAAGAAAATGCAGGTGTTTATCCCAGCTAATTAAGCTATTCAATGAAATTTCTAAATTGAAATGTTTTGAAATTGGTGTGAAAATGAGATACCTGTAAATTCTTCTTTATGTTGATGCTCTTTACTTTTTGGTATATTTTTAGAAAGGCTCATACTGGTTGTTTCTTTCTATGTATAATGCTTCTTTCAGAAGTTCTTGTAAAGCAGAACTTTTACATCAACGAATGGATAAAATAGCCAATTAACATCAAATGGCAGTAACCCTAAATTTAAATCGACTAAATCCCCCAATCAAAAGTTACAGCCAAAACCTAATGGTATATCCAAAGATACACAAAGACTCAAAACAAAGGGTTGGAGAAAAATTTACCAACCATATGGAGAGCAAAAATAAATAAATAAAAAGCAGGAGTTGCAATTCTCACATTTGATAAAATAGATTTCAAAGCAGCAAAGATACAGTGGTAAAACGATCAATGCAACACTAAGAGATCTTAATACCCAGATACATAAGACCCATAACGAGATTTAGACTCAACGAGACAGAAAATTAATAAGGATATCAAGGACTTCAACTCAGATTCGGAACAAGTAAACTCAATAAATATTTGTAGAGTTCTCCATTTTAAATACACAAAATATTGATCGGCCATTATTAATACCCATTTCTAGAATGAAGCAATATTCCTGTTCTCTCTCCCTCTTTTTCTTCCTCTCCTTCTCTCCTGTTTTTACTTTTCAACATCCTAGTTCCTCAAAAAAAAAGAAAAGAAAAGAAAATGAGATACCTTAGGTACAGCATATTGAAAGCAGTTCTGAGTGCTTGAGTTTTGTTCCAGTATTTTTAAATTCTAGACGAATTATGGCCTAAGTATTTTTAAATTTCAAAAAGGCAGCATTTAGAGGAATTCTGTGTAGCAATCAGATGTTCATTATATATTGCCATTAGTTTTTTTCCAAAGGAAAGAGGATATACATTTCCTGTCTTTTTTTTTTTTTTTTTTTGAGACGGAGTTTCGCTCTTGTTACCCAGGCTAGAGTGCAATGGCACAATCTTGGCTCACCACAACCTCCGCCTCCTGGGTTCAGGCAATTCTCCTGCCTCAGCCTCCCGAGTAGCTGGAACTACAGGCATGCGCCACCATGCCCAGCTAATTTTTTTTGTATTTTTAGTAGAGACGGGGTTTCACCATGTTGTCCAGGATGGTCTCGATCTCTTGACCTCGTGATCCACCCGCCTCGGCCTCCCAAAGTGCTGGGATTACAGGCTTGAGCCACTGCGCCGGGCCTTCTTGGCTTATTTTTAAACGGCAACGAGTTTAGGAACTGTGACTTCGAAACAGGTTTCACTTCTGCCTTCCCTGATTAGGTCACTTAGAATATAAATAGGAGAGGGTAGCCCTCTTGCTTCAGTTGTAGCCATGGCTACTCTGCATGGTTGTATAAGATGGTTGGGCTCGTTAGGCAATAACCACAACCTGTTCCTTTCCACAGAGAAGAGAGAAGCACGATTAGCTGCTATATATTGCTTTTGCTTTTCCAATATTTCTGCCTAGTGGGAAGGGAAAGGAGGGCTGCCCAATATCAGGGTGGAAGATATTTACTCTCACTGCTATTATGCTGAAAAGTTAGATCTTTTTTTAAAATTGAGAAATCACAGAAAAATTCTATGGTCTAATAGAGATTTTCAAACATAAATGCTAATGTTTTGTTCCTCTGTTTACACATTTTGTTAGCTTCTATATATCAAGGGATTACCTGTAAATTACAGAATCTTAACTATTAACAAATTCTCATGGGAGGTTGGTTTCATAGAGATGGGTTGTATTTTTTTCCTGTTTTGGTAATTTGCTTCTCTCTCTTGTTTTGTAATTATATAAATGTTGAAATTTCTACTTTAGGAGCCATAATTACATAGAATGTGATAAGACACTTCTAGCCTCTTTTCAAGTAAAGATGGAGTCTTGCTGTCTTGCAGAGGCTGGTTTTGAACTCCTGGCTGCAAGCAATCCTCCCACCTTGGCCTCCCAAAGTTCTGGGAGTACAGGCATGAGCCACTGTGCCTGGCCTCCAGCTAACATTTTTTATATCAGACATCCATAATACCTCAGTGGCAACCTATATAATATTGCTTTAGAAAGTTTGGTTCAGTTTATTGTTTTTTATTACAGCCTTTCTTAGTGAAATGATGTATTTACATGTTATTTAAAGTTTCTGTCCCTGTTAATTGTCCTGATGTCTAACTGAGGTGTTAAAAACTGATAATCAGTAGGCTTTTCTATTTAATGCTGGAAGAACAAGCTGCTTGTGATGACCCAACAGGGACATGAAGAAGGTTTGTGAAAGGGGTGCATTCATCCAGCTCTAATCCTTGTTTTCAGAAAGGCAATGTCTTTAAGTGTTCTCTAATTAGTGAATAGATATCGTTGTAAATTCTTGTAGACTCGTCTTTTGTAGGAAAGAGATGCTTTGCCTGGCTTGTCTAAATCTTTGTTTTACATTTTTTGTAAGTAAAATTTTAATATGAACATTTAAAATAGGAAATATAAAAGTAATTTAAAAACATGTAATTAATGGTATTTTATCAGTGTGGCCCAACATGGTATATTTTTTTAACATCCTCATAATTAGAAACTTGAATATTATATATCAGAAAATGGTGTCCACTAGCTAAAATGTTTTTATTTTTTTGTTTGCCTGCTTGCTTGTTTGTTTTGCTGATCTCTTTGTATACATGAAGTATTTACTGCAATGAAATGAATTCTTTTTGGGTTTGGTAAAATTGCTTCTACCAGTCACCTAGGAAATTTAAGCTAGGGAACAAGACACTGATATTTAGTCATACCAAGAAGAAATATATTGCTTCAGTGAACTGAGTATAAAATATGATCAGTGAAAACACCTGGAAATCAGAAAGGACAGACTTTAGTTATGCTTCTCTTTTTCAAAGAACTTAAGTGCTTAGCTATTATTGTTAGTACTGGAGAAGTAACTTGGCAATGACATTTGAAATATGATAAATAAAAGCCTACAGAATATCTGCTTCTACTTTTAGGACTTGTCTGATTTCTTTTCCAGAAATTGCATAATGGAAACTACCATAGAGTTAATGCTACTCTAATATATCACCGTTACTTGTTTTAATAAATGCCTTTTCTATTTCTTTATTATGATAAAGCTATAGTTATTGAAACTGTCAAAGTTATAGAAAGAGAGAGATAGGAGCTTTTTGTCTTTATCACCTGTATTAATAATTGGAGATAATTACTGCAGAGCAGCTGGCTGTTGGTTTTAGGGAGCATCGATTGTTCTTCTTACCCAGCTGTTGACTAATAAGGATAGTCAACACATCTGTTTCAACAGCTGGTAATTAACAAAAGCCTAATTGCTGCAACTCTTTTAACATCCAATCTGTGAAAAAGAAGGGATGTAGAAGAATATTATTTACTTTGTGCTTTGCCCTTTCTGAAACCAGTTTCTCTTTTTTTCTCTCTCCCCACTTTTTTTTTCTTACTTTGAACACCACTGCCTTTGTATGAAGCGCTGAATGGCAGGAGAATACAATATGGTAATCCAGAGCTTAACTTTTTTAGATCTTTGTTGGTGTTTCTTATTGCAACATTTCTTTGCTAACTTGCAAGATAAAATGGATCAAAAGCATTTTGAGTAGTTCCATACAACAGTTAAAATCCTCAGCAGTGTGCCCTAGGCTGTGCTGCTGTTGTCTGAAGCATCCAAAAGGAAACAGGGGATTCTTTTTTCTTGTGCTTTTCACATGCTTAGACAGTACCCCCAAATAATTTCCACATTCATATACAGAATTTTTGTTTAAATTAGTGCATATGTGATTAATACAAATGAAGTCAGGGTTAGCAAGCCCTCTTCCTTTGATTAAAAATCATTTTAATTGTCCTTTCTTAAAAACTTCAGTTTACTCATTTTAATGCACATATGTCAACTTAAAATATTTAAGAAAACTTTTGGTGTATTTGTGAAATCTTGCTTGGTTTATTTTATGTTAAAATGTGATTTGGCCTTTTTAAGAAGTTGCTTTTAAGTTAGATAACCTTGATAATTTCTTGTTTATTTTTATAATAAATGAACAAGATACTTGCTGGCTTGGACATGGACACCTGAATAAAACCGTTTCACAAATGAGAGACTTATATGTTAATATTTTTTATTTGAATACTTTTAGTACTTTCATGTAATTGTGAACTGTTTTAGTTAAAAAAAAATCTTTCCTATAGCCTTGATTATAAATCTTTATATGTATGTGTGTCTGCAGTTATAATTGTTTACTAGATATGAATTAATGTGTACATGCCAAAAGTCTGCTAATTTTTCTCCAATTTAAAAATTTTCTTTGTAAAACAAAATTGATTAAAATGTTTTCCTTTCTTTAAGAGTTTTGTTTTTTTTTTTAGTTTTCATGGCTGTTTTTTCAATAGCCATTTCCATAGTCTTTTACACTTTCTTTATAGCCTGTGTTCTTAAAAAACTTTTTGATGAATGATAAATGTATGTGTATTAATTAAAGATAACATAATCATACTGATTTTCCTTTTGATACATTCATAAAATTTTAGAATAATTTTATGATTAATTTGATAGGCAGTTATTATGGTGCTTATTTGAGTATCCAACAAATCCTTAGCTAAAATGATAGACAAGTTCACTTGATGAAACCTGCTTCACTAACTTTTCATTTGGCAATATTTCTATGCAGGCGGTTCTTTAATTGATGTTGAAAGGTATAGAAGAAATTCTACCCAAGTGCTTGCCATGGACTGAATTACAGATTGCATAATTTCAAAATTTTTTGCTGGCAAGGCAAGTTTGGTTCAGCAGGTGTTCAGGTGATGAAGTGTACTCTAGATGTAGTGAAAAAACATACAGGATCCTGAACAAATAAACAAAATACTGCTTGCTAAAATTCTGACTAAATAAAAGGGCATTGGCATGTAATGTTTACAACTCAAGTGTAAAGGAGGGAAATATTGTCCTTTTGAGAAATGTTTGCTTCTTGAGTTTAAATAAGAATTTAATTTTCTCTGTGTGCTCATGTTCTTAGGTAGTACCAGAGAGCTTAGTGAAAGGAATGTATCATGCCATGAAAAAGGAGAGTGAACTTTTTTGAGGAACCCACATTCCAGCTGATGCTTTAAGTATTTTCTTGCGCATAATTTGTTTTTATTTCCTGAGGAAATTACCTCAAGAATAGTCAGTTTGGTAGATGAAAATATAAACATTTAATATATATTTTCTGAAGTCCATTAAATACTATGTGATTAGCCTCTGTTCTAGACATTAAAAGTGGTAAATCTCATTAATTGATGGATAGACTACTAGTGATGCCAGTGAAATAGTCAGTGGTTTTTACATATCAGTAAGAATGACTTTCGGAGGTGGAGTCAAGAAGTCTCAGTATTTAAGTAAAGTAACTGGCATCTAACTAGCAACAGATTAAGATTTTAGTACCTTTTGAGCTGGGGTTCATTCAACTTAAAAGATACAAAGAAAAGATAAAGTCTCCATGGTCTAAATTAATACACTAAGAAATGGCTCAAGACAAATATTTTAAATTGCAAAAGGCCTAAATAAATTATATCAGATACTGAAAATAAAAATACAAAGTAGTTAAATGACAGTAAATGGACAAGAGCTAAAACTTGGAGTAAAGCGTGTCACCTCTGGAGTTAATTGCAATAGTGGCACATTTGAGGTTGGAGAAAGTTAGCAGAGTAGTTAATGCATAGATAGACCCACTGGCAATCCAGAGTCTAATTCTGGTTCTGCCACTAAGCTTTCCATATAACCTTAAACACTGAGTGTTTAAGTATATAATTTCCTAATGAATGGTTTTCCTACACAATAAATTTGTTTCCCTAAAAGATTTACTTTTTTTTTTGAGACGGAGTTTCGCTCTTGTTACCCAGGCTGGAGTACAATGGCGCGATCTTGGCTCATCGCAACCTCCGTCTCCTGGGTTCAGGCAATTCTCCTGCCTCAGCCTCCTGAGTAGCTGGGATTACAGGCACGTGCCACCATGCCCAGCTAATTTTTTGTATTTTTAGTAGAGACAGGGTTTCACCATATTGACCAGTATGGTCTCGATCTCTTGACCTCGTGATCCACCCGCCTTGGCCAAAAGATTTACATTTTTAAAGACAGTTGGAAAGAATATTTCAATTTCTATTTTTGAACATTTTATCAATTATATAATTAATTACACATACCTTTTAAAGAGTGGCATTGTGATAACCTCTAACTATATGTAAGTTAGAATATGTGGCAGTTATTGGATATCAGAAATTTATAACACACATTGCTCAACTGAACCACACTAGCTCCT